GTGTGCAGCGCCGAGCACCTGCCGCCGGGATCCGGGAACTGCGCTGGGGACTGCCCTGCCTGGCAGCAGAGGACTGAGGGGGCAGGCATGGGGCGGATTTGGGGCCAAGGAGCCAGCCGGCCGGGGACGCGCACCCGCAGGAGGCAGCCGAAGCCCCGCACCGACCGGTGATTCCCCCCCGGCACGGAACCAGGCGGCGAGGAGCTCCCGGCGGGAGTTTATTCGGTTCCATCCAAGTGCAAGTCACGCGCGGGTGTTAGGGCAGGTTAGTGCGGTGGCCCCAGCTGCAGGGTCCTGAGGGAAGGAGTGCGGGGTCAGCCTCGTGGCACGTGGCAGAAAGGCATAGCTGGGGGCGGGGGTACACAAGGGCACCCGGGCAGCTGCCGCTGCTTGGGCCAAACAGCCAGGTCCTGCCTTCCCCTCCCCAGGCTCCTGCAGGGAGCAGCTGCCTGCAGGCCTGGGCACGGCCCTGGGGTAGTCCTGCGGTGAAGCTGGTGGCCTTGACCCCTCCCAGGGCGAGTTGTGTCCCCTCGGCCCGGGCCCAGGGCATTGGAACAGATGCCCCGGGCAATCAACTTCCTGCTACTGCCGCTGGCGCGGGGGGCGGGCACTACCCCTGGGCCCGTGGGCTGCCCTCCTGCCCGTGGCTGCTGGCATGGTCGGGCGGGGGGCGGTGCCCACGGCCTTCCTTCTCGTGGCGCTTGGGGCCACTCCGGTTTCCATCCCTGGCAGAGCTGCAAGAACAGCAGAGACGGGGAAAAGCGGGTAGGGGGAGGGAAACAGCAGGGGTGATGCCACGCAGGTGCCCACCCTCTACCCCAGCTGGGCCCCTTGCCATGCTGGCTTCTGTGCAGTAAGCCCCTCAGGCAGCTGAGACCTGGGGCTGGAGCCCCTGCACGGTGCAGGCCCTGGGCTCACCTCGGCCCCAGCCCGTAGTGCTGTAGCACAAACTCCTCAAAGTCATCGGCCGCCTCGTCATCACCCTGCTCCTGCCATGCCAGCACCTCGAGCAGGTCCTCCACGTCATCTGCAAAGTCGCTGAAGCGCAGGTGGTCGTGGGCAAAGGTGCCATCTGGGCTGAAGACGTCATCCAGCAGTGCGGCCAGGTGCCCATAGTGTGGCCCCCAGCCTCGCTGCACCATGAACCCCTCCAGCAGCTGCAGGAACCCTGCCTTCTGCACGGGTGCCAGCCCCTCCTGCCGGGCGCAAGCTGCTGCACCTGAGCAGCCCTGGGGTGCCTGGTACTGGCTCAGGGGGGGCAGCTCCCAGGCACGGGGCACATGGTGCCCATGTGGGGGCACCTTCCTGCCATCCACCCGCCGCGCTGGGCTGTCCCAGTCCCTGCCTGGCCTGGGATCTCGGCGGGGCTTGTGGTGCTTGGGGCTGCCCGGTTCCTTCGGCTCCCTGCCCACTTTGTCCCCGGGCCGGCCAGGCCGTGGCTCCCCCCTCGCCTTGTGCCTCGGACCCTCCTTCCGCTCAGCCTTTAATGGCTTTTTGCTGCGGTGGGGCAAGGGCTCTGCAGCCTCCTCTCCGCCCCAGACCTGCTCCCAGCTCTCTGCCTGCTGCAGCTCCTGTGCCAGCCGCTGCTCCAGGGAGCCCAGCTCTGCCTGCAGCTGCTCCAGCCGCCCTGAGGCCTGGGCCCGTTGCAGGGCACCCACCAGGTCCTGCTGCACTGAGGCCAGCAGCCCGCGCTGCCTTTTCAGCTCCTGGTGCAGCCGCTCCTTGTGGGGCGCTGAGGCTCGGGCTGGGGCCTGGGGTTGCTCCATGGTGGGCTCCTGCTGCCCACCCCTAGCCACAGCCTCCTGCTCCAGCTGCTTCAGCTGCCCCTGGAGCCGCAGCAGCTCAGCCTGCGTGGCATGGCGGGCAGCTGCCTCCTGCTGCAGTGACGCCCGGAGCTGTGCCATCTCTGCCAGACCAGGAGTGGGGGACCCAGCCACCGCCTTCTCAGTCTCACTCTTCTCCAGCAGGGCCTGGAGTTCATCCTTCTGTGCCTGCGGGTGTGGAAGCCAGGTGAGGACCAAGGGGCAGGGAGTTGCTCCCTCCAGCCCAGGGCCCTGTCTCACCTGCAGCACCGCCTGCATGGCTCGGATGTCTTGGTTCTCCTTGGCCAGCTTGTCCAGCAGCAGGCTCATGGCCTGCAGGCTCTGTGGGTCCCCGGCCAAGGATGGTGATGGTGGTGGCTGCTCCAACTGCTCCTGCAAGGATGGGAGGAAGCCACAGCCTGTGACCCCCGTGGCAACCAGAACACTGGGGTACCTGGCCTAGCCCTCCCCTGCACACCCAGGCCCAGCCCCACTCTGTGCCTTAGTCTCCCCAGCATGATAGGCCCAAGCCTTGCAGCAGCACAGGGCACAGTCCCTGGTCTGCCAGGCTGGGAAAGGCTCCTGAGTCCAAGGCTGAGGACTCAGAGCCCTCCCTACCCAGCCGTGGGGGCAGAGCTGGTCTCAGGTTCAGGGACCCTGACACACTTACCTTTATGCTGATGACCGGCAGTGGGGGTGACCATGGCTGCTCCCCCTCTGGGGCATCCCCAGCCCCTGCACTCTCTGTAAGGCCTGGCAGAGGGAACAAGTGGGGTTAATGCTGAGGTGCATGTCCATGCCCCCTGCCCCGCCAGGCGGGCACAAGGGTGCTAATCACCCCCTCCTTGAGTGGGGCAGCAGAGAGGTCCCTGCCCAGTACTCACTGTCTCCCAGGTCATAGATGCCACCTAGGGAAAAGAAAGCAGAGGATGAAGGAGAAGTGGACCCCTGTGCCCACCCTGGCTGCCCCTGCTGTATCCCTTGCTCACCTGAGAAGACCAGCAGCCCCACAGCCAGCAGTGCCATTGCACCCAGCAGGTAAGTAGTTGTGCCCAAGCCCCCCTCGGCACCTTCAGCCTCCAGCACTCTGTGTGGCACAGGCCTCTCAGGAGCAGCGGGCACATCCCGCCCCTTCCGCCGCCGCAGCCCCTCCACATCCTGGTCCTCGTTGCTGCTGGAGCCACTGCCCTCCTCTGCCAGTGCCCCTGGGCAGATACGGGGACTCTGCTCAGAGCAGCCCCTGGAGCAGGACCCCCAGAAGTGTCCCCATGGACAGGGCCACAGATGGGCACAGGATTCCCCCTCCCTACCCAGCAGGGACCAGGTGCCCCCAGAGTCCATGCAGAGGCTGGGGTGCAGTGTCCAACATGCCCCATGGCTCCCCAGCCAGGCTCAGCTGGTGCCAGGTCAGTGTGGGGCTTGGCAGGGTGGGGAGGGGAGGGGAGGCTAAGCTGCTAGCAAGGCTGGACCCACCTGTTCTGCCTGTGAGTGAGGAGCCCAGGACTTCAGCGCCAGAGTCCAATCTGGCATCCTGGGAGTCTGGTTCCTCAGGCTCGTGGATGTCCAGCAGCTCATCGGGGTGGGCTGCTGCGTCAGGGCCACCCTTGGGGCTAGATGTCAAGTGCTCCTCAGAGTCCTGGGAACAGGCAGTGCCAGGACTTGTGCTTGAGCATCTCCAGGATGCAGCAGGGCCTCATCCCTGTGCCGCCACAAGCTCGGCACCCACCTCCCATCTGATCCCTGGGCACCCCCAAACCTTTACCTTGAATTCAGCCTCCTCCCGGCCAGCAGCCGAACTTAGCAGGGAGGCCTCGTCCTTCTTGCCCCTGTGGGCGGACGCTATGGAGTGACAAGAGCATCAAGGCCCAGCCAGGGTGGGGGAGGGCTCTGCTGGGCCAGGGACTTGGGCTGACTCCTGCCCTCTTGGCTGGTGCAGCAGCTCGAAGCCTGTGAGAGCCCCCTCCCCTGCCCTGCAGCCTGAAGAGGACAGAGCAGGGAGCACTGGAGTTAGGGTGCTGGACAGTGCGGGGAGCCGGTCTGGTCTAGGAACCATCACATGCCTGGGAGTGTGTCCTGGGCTTCATCCTCCACCTCAAGGGTGTCTCCCACCAGCTCCTCTGCTGCAGCCTGGGGCAGCTCCCCCTCCTCTGGGCCCACAGTTTCCACAGGCAAACCCTGGGGAAAGGGAGGGCAGGTCATGCAACTGTTACCTCTGCACACACCTGTTGCTTCCCCAAGCCTGGGCAGCACCCTGCTGGCAGAGCCCTGGGGAGCAGGTGCAGGCACCAGGACCCCAGCCCCACCCTACCCCGCCCCACACACGTTGCCCCCCACCTCAGAGCCAGCAATCACCCAGCTGTTGTCTGAGTTCCGCGCGTCAGCGTTCTTGGCCATTGCTGCTCCTGCCCAGCTGGGCTGGATCCCACCTGCAGGGAATGTGGAGCATCAGGGCAATCCCAGCCCTCCCAGTCCCGCAGCACTGCAAGGGGGTATGGAGATACCCAGATGCATGCATCAAGGGCTCCAGGCCCCAGAACCGCCTCTCCAGGGCTAATTTGACTTGCAAAGAGAATTTGCAAATGGAGACAAAGGGCCCTTCACTCAGGCACAGTGGAGCAGAACCCTGCCCCAGCCACTGCCCCCACCCATGCCCCAGAGCTGTGAATAGGACCCTGCCAGCCTGGGGTGGGGCAGAGGGCACTGAGCCAGGCTCCAGGTTGGGAATCAGCTGCCCCTGGAGGGGCCTAGTGGGCCCGTTCCCAAGAGATGCGGAGCCTGGAACGCGGGGGCAGCGGGCGCCCGGGCTGGCAGCTGCCCCGGATTGCACACATTCCCCGCACAACTGTGGTGACAGCCCCAGCCCCTGCACCTGGGCCTGCCTGTAACTCGCTGGGCAGGCTCTGTCTTTCCCCGCTCGGGGCTGGCTGCAGCCCAGCTCTCCCTGCCCCATCTGCCGGCCCGGGACAGGAACCCCAGATTCAACCCTGCTCCCTTCCAGAGCAGAGCTGCGGGCTTGCTGCAGTGTTGTCACAGAACCCACATCCTGACATCACAGTGGTTACCACGGCAACAAGATGAGGTCAGCTAGGAGAGAGGGGGAAGGGGTGCTTTCCCAGACGTATGGAAGGGGCTAGGGTGGGAGCATAGCCCAGGGGTTGCACCAGGTGTCCCGGCCACCTCTGCCTGGGCCAGGCTCTCACTTTGCGAGAGTCCCTCCCCGCCGCCGAGCCTGTTTGCCCCTAGAGCCTCCCCCCCGGGCGGGAAGCTGCCGGCGGCGTGCCAGGGACGTCCCCCCGCAGCTGCCGCCGGGACAGTGACGCCCGCGGGTATTTTTAGCGGCGTTTAATTCCCCGCAGCAGGTGGCAGAGCCGCCCCACCCCGCCCCGAGCGGGCTCCGCAGGAAGGAAGCGGCGGAACGCGACGCGCCGGCGGAGCCCCAGCGCTGCCATAATAGGAGAGAGCGACTGCAGCGGGTTCCCGCCTGCGGCGACCGGCCCCGGGCCCCCCGGCGGCACTCCCGGGACCATCCGCCTGCTCCCCCCCCGCGGGGCGGGGCCGGCGCCCCCGGGGAGACCCACGGGCCGGCGGGGAGCGACGCCCCGCGACTCCGTCCCTGTCCCGGACTCACCCGACAGGCGGCGCCGGGGGGGCCCTGGATCCCAGCGAGGGGTGGGGGACTAGCCCCGGCGGGGGGGGGTCTGGGGTCCCGGCAGCGGGTCCCGGAACCTCCGGGCAACTTTGTAGCTAACTTTGCTGCAAGTCGCTACAGTCTGATCCGAAAGGGGCGGGGCACGTGATCGGGGCAGCCAATCGGCGGGCGTCTGGGGAAGGCAGGGCCAATAGAAGCCGTCCCTGCCGCTCCACTGGGAGCACATGGGGGGGCGGGGTGCCCCGGTGCAGCTGCCGGGGGCGTCGCCCTCCTTGTGCCCGCGGGTCTCGGCTGCCCAGTGTCTCGTGTCCCGCGGCGGGAGGGGCCCGGCCCGGTGTCCCCGGGCGGCCGCGGGTGAAGCGGCGCGGAAGCCAAGTGGCAGCGGCCCTGGCGGCTGCGCCAGCACCGGGATAGCTGCCTGGCCGGCCCAGCCCGCCACCCCCCTCCGTGGGAGCCGGCTCAGAGCAGCGACCCAGGCCCCGGGCCAGGCGCACGGACACACTGAACCCGCCTGGTTTTCGGAGCTTTATAGCAGACAGTACAAAGACCCCGTACAAAACAGCGCGGGGGCAGCGATGGGCACACGGGGCAAGGGCCATCTGCCCCAAGGAGGAAGGGGGGGTGGCCAGGTCCCAGGCTGGCAGCACCGGGCTCTCCCACCTGCCAGGGCACCGCAGAACCCAGCGCTCCTGGGCATCCCCATGGGGCACCACCCAGCACCGGGGCCCAGCAGTCTGTGCGGAGCCATGGGGAGGGCTCCCTGTCAGCAAGGGCCTTCCAAAAATAGCCTCGGGCTGGAGCTGTCCCTGGCTGGGAGGCAGAGAGAGGGTCACAATGTCCACAGTGCTGGGCGGCTGCCCTGGAGCCACCAGCCCTCACCGAGAAGCTCCTACATGCCTGCAGACCCGGTTGTGCCCAGGGCAGGCACTGCCCTGGCAAGGGTAGAGGAGCTTCCTCCTGCAAAGATTTGGTTTGGTACCAGCCCCCCAAGCCCATGAGTCCAGTCCCAGAGTCCCCACAAGCTCCCACAGTCACAGAGCAGTTGTGGAGCTGCCTCCAGCCCACAGAGCTTGAGTCCCACAGCCCAGCTTCTCCTAGCAGCCCCAGGACTACACAGGGCACAGGCCCTGAGCGCTGAGACCGTGAAGCATCCTGTGCATCCAGGACCCAGCACCCCTGAAGTGCTGCTCTCCCACCCTGTGCTGCTGGGCAGGGCCAGTCTGTGCCAGATGCAGGGGGGCAGCACCCCCTCCAGCCACCACCAGTAACCCAGGAGCATAAGGCGCATGCTAGTAGACAGCAGAGCCAAGCTACCCACAGGCACCGGCTCCCAGTCAAGACTCCATCATCCACGGGTGCCAGGGGCTGGTACAGCTTGAGGGGCAGAAGGGAGAACAGGCCCCTGGCACCCCACTTAGGGGCAGGGCTCCACAGCAGGATGCCCCTGTGCTCCATGCCAGCCCATCAACAACTGCACGGCATGCAGAGGCCACAGTGCTGGAGCAATGGCTACCCTCCGACAGCTGGTTTGAACACTTCAACAGGGCGTGTGACGAGAGAAGTGCCCGCCCAGGGGGAAGGGTGAGGGGGAGCGTTACTGGCATCCCGGTGCTGTTTCTTGTTGGCAGACATGGGGTAGGGGGGTGACAGGGCAGGGGACAGGGCCCAGGGAGGAACGAGTCTGGTGGGGGCAGTGGGTCCGCCTGGCTCAGCCATCGTTGGCGGCCACCAGCTGCCCCAGGCCCTCGCGGATGTAGACAGACTGGATCTCCTTGGTCTTGAGGCAGTAGTCGCAGGCCCAAACAGCTGAGGCCTCAGTGGTGAGCAGCCCATAGGCGTTCTCCGTCATGCCCGTGCACTCGCGGTGGAACCACTTCTGGCAGGAGGCCTCGCACAGGATAGCATCCTGGTCGTCGTTGACCTCGTTGCGGCAGGCCCCGCAGGGGTACACCAGGCCCGGTGGCGGCTGATGCCCTGAACTGCCAGGAGCCTTGCTGGGCGGTGGGAGGCTGTTGGCCTCAGGGGTGCCGCTGCTGCGGGTGGTGCTGCCAGGGGCGAAACTGGGCTGGGCCCCGTTGACTGCAGCTGGTGAGCCCGAGTGCTGCTCCTGACTGAAGGTGCTGGCAGGCGGGTTGAGGGGCTTGGCTCCGTCCTCTGCGCCAGCCGGGAAGCCGGGGTCAGCCCCGGGGAAGGGGCTGGTGTTAGGGGGCAAGTTGGGCAGGGTCTGGCTGGGCCGCTGCATGGGTGACTGTCCAAAGAGGGTGCCCGGCTGGCCAAACCTCTGTGTCATTGAGGGGCCGCCTGGGGGGTTCAGCGCGGGCCCTGGCCCCATGTCCGCCCGTGGTGGCTGCCCCATGGTGGGTGAGATCATGGGCCCAAAGCCCCCGACGGGGCCCTGAAGGAGCTGCCCGGCCGTAGGGCTGAAGTTCTGTCCGAGGGGCTGGCTGAAGGGCTGGCTGGGGAAGCTCATGCCACCGGGCTGCACGTAGCCGGGGGTCTGGGGGGGCAGGCTGAAGGCCGGGCCCATCTGGCCGGGTGCGAAAGGGGGCGGCTGGCGACGCCGGGGCTGCGGGGCCCCGCCCTTGCCTCGCGGCACAGGG